CTTCAGTCATTCAAAAGTTATACTTAAATCCAAACTGGTTCTCTAGCAGATTAGTAAGAATTCCTCACCCCATGTTCAAGAACGGCCTTTTCCCCTTTATTCAGATTACAACATCTCATTTTCGGTTATTTGAAAATGAAATAATCTCCAAAATATCGCTATTTTTAAAACAAGCCATAAAAAGTTGGTTGCAATTGCAGTTTAATCCAACAGAATAGACACAACAAATATTACAACAAATATTATGGTTAAACTCTAATATACTAATTGATTATTTTTTTTAAACATATAAAATACAATTTAAAAAAAAGGATATTCTTTGTAAATGATATCATAAATAGGACTGGTGGAGTTATGTCACACATGCAGCTAACAAAAATATATGGAAATGTCTGCTTTACTCAAAATTACAACCAACTAATTGCAGCATTACCGCAAAAATGGAAGAGGCAAGTGGAAGGGGGAGAAAGTAAGGAACTTGTCTGTCGGCCCTGCATTAAAGACCAAAATTGGCTAAAGAAAATTGTGATAAATAAAAAAGTATACCAGTTTAATTTAAGGACCAAAAAATTGACAGCTGTGCCATATAAATTTAGATTGCAAAATAGTTGGGAAGAGATTTTCGATGTACCGATTCCATGGCACATGGTTTATGAACTGATACACAAAACAATTCTGGATTCAAAACTTAGAGTTTTAAATGTAAGTTATTATACAAAATTCTTGCAACCAGTAGAATGTTATATATATGGGGGATACAACCATCCCAGCTCTGTATATTTCTGCGAAGAGACAATCATTTTGGTACTGTCCATATGTAGCTTGTATTTGGTCGCTAGTTCAGGAATGGATGAAAAATTGCAACATTTACCTGGAGCTAACTCTGCAAATAGCACTGCTGGGTGATTTAAAAAGTCATAGTCAATTAATAATATAATAATACTATTAGCAAAAAATGTTATCTTTAATTTACAATATGAAGAATCTATGAGAATAGCAAGGTTCAGAACTTTTGTGAAACATCACAGCACAGTTGAAAAATATATGGCAAATGGAAAACAAAACTGGATAGTGTTCAGAGGTAGATGGGAGGGGTTGAGTGGAGCTGAAGTATGGGACTAAAAACAAACAAAAGATAACTATACTGTGTCCGTAAAATGTATATTGTATGTATAAGCTGGAAATAGAAGCCTAAGAGTTGTTGTCCATTAGTTTACTCCAATTAGGGGAGGGATGGTAGGGTTAGGGGAAAATAATTAAGGAAAGTATTTGTAAAAATATATATATTTTATAAACAGTGGGGAGAACAAGTATTTGATACACTGCCGATTTTGCAGGTTTTCCTACTTACAAAGCATGTAGAGGTCTGTCATTTTTATCATAGGTACACTTCAACTGTGAGAGACGGAATCTAAAACAAAAATCCAGAAAATCACACTGTATGATTTTTAAGTAATTAATTTGCATTTTATTGCATGACATAAGTATTTGATACATCAGAAAAGCAGAACTTAATTTTTGGTACAGAAACCTTTGTTTGCAATTACAGAGATCATACGTTTCCTGTAGGTCTTGACCAGGTTTGCACACACTGCAGCAGGGATTTTGGCCCACTCCTCCATACAGACCTTCTCCAGATCCTTCAGGTTTCGGGGCTGTCGCTGGGCAATACGGACTTTCAGCTCCCTCCAAAGATTTTCTATTGGGTTCAGGTCTGGAGACTGGCTAGGCCACTCCAGGACCTTGAGATGCTTCTTACGCAGCCACTCCTTAGTTGCCCTGGCTGTGTGTTTCGGGTCGTTGTCATGCTGGAAGACCCAGCCACGACCCATCTTCAATGCTCTTACTGAGGGAAGGAGGTTGTTGGCCAAGATCTCGCGATACATGGCCCCATCCATCCTCCCCTCAATACGGTGCAGTCGTCCTGTCCCCTTTGCAGAAAAGCATCCCCAAAGAATTATGTTTCCACCTCCATGCTTCACGGTTGGGATGGTGATCTTGGGGTTGTACTCATCCTTCTTCTTCCTCCAAACACGGCGAGTGGAGTTTAGACCAAAAAGCTCAATTTTTGTCTCATGAGACCACATGACCTTCTCCCATTCCTCCTCTGGATCATCCAGATGGTCATTGGCAAACTTCAGACGGGCCTGGACATGCGCTGGCTTGAGCAGGGGGACCTTGCGTGCGCTGCAGGATTTTAATCCATGACGGCGTAGTGTGTTACTAATGGTTTTCTTTGAGACTGTGGTCCCAGCTCTCTTCAGGTCATTGACCAGGTCCTGCCGTGTAGTTCTGGGCTGATCCCTCACCTTCCTCATGATCATTGATGCCCCACGAGGTGAGATCTTGCATGGAGCCCCAGACCGAGGGTGATTGACCGTCATCTTGAACTTCTTCCATTTTCTAATAATTGCGCCAACAGTTGTTGCCTTCTCACCAAGCTGCTTGCCTATTGTCCTGTAGCCCATCCCAGCCTTGTGCAGGTCTACAATTGTATCCCTGATGTCCTTACACAGCTCTCTGGTCTTAGCCATTGTGGAGAGGTTGGAGTCTGTTTGATTGAGTGTGTGGACATGTGTCTTTTATACAGGTAACGAGTTCAAACAGGTGCAGTTAATACAGGTAATGAGTGGAGAACAGGAGGGCTTCTTAAAGAAAAACTAACAGGTCTGTGAGAGCCGGAATTCTTACTGGTTGGTAGGTGATCAAATACTTATGTCATGCAATAAAATGCAAATTAATTACTTAAAAATCATACAATGTGATTTTCTGGATTTTTGATCCGTAATTTTTAGATTCCGTGTCTCAAGTGTACCTATGATAAAAATTACAGACCTTTACATGCTTTGTAAGTAGGAAAACCGGCAAAATCGGCAGTGTATCAAATATTTGTTCTCCCCACTGTATATTTCCCCCCCAAAATATGGAGGATTGGAAATGATGCAGACAATTACATTGATGGAAGCCACAATCTATTCTGCAATATTAAAGCTGATTTACCGCTTTAAAAAAAAAGTAAGGTATCTTTATAATAAAGTAAAAGCTCATTTTAGTCATTTAGCAGACGCTCTTATCCAGAGCGACTTACAGTTAGTGAGTGCATACATTTTATTTTTTTCATACTGGTCCCCCGTGGGAATCGAACCCACAACCCTGGCATTGCAAGCGCCATGCTCTACCAACTGAGCTACACGGGACTCATCTGTTGTTTGTAGGTATTTTCACTTGGTAATGAGTAATAAGTAATTACATACAACATTGAGTGGAGAATTTGAAGAGTGCGTATTCATAGTTTGGTAATTAGATCCTATTGATCGTCCAACCTTTGATCTCTGACACCCAGCGCATCTGTCCACAAGAGATTACAACCTTGTGACAGTTATTACTAAATCGGAGGCAGCTGAGAGGAAATGTAACACTAAATTGGTGAATTTAGTGGAAACTTGCCCATTTGTATGAAGCGTGGTAACAAGCATATGTTGTTACACCTCTGTAATTACAGTCTCCAATTACCACCAGTTACATGTTGTTATTACAGTGTAACTATGAGTTATTAACATTTACTACAATACTTGTTACAGTGTAATTACACTGTAATGAGGACCCCTTAAAATGAAGTTTTACCTTTTCTGTTTAAAAATCAAAATAAGTAGACCTATATCGATTGTCGAATGCTGTCTGTCCTGTCCAACAAAGACTTAAGCTGTAGGCTACCTATTCTTTTTATTTTTTCAAAAGCAATAATTTACTCACAGATTGCAAGACCAAGTATACTAGCAACAAATGGCAACCATCTCAGAGTAGGAGTGCTGATCAGGTCCCCTCTGTCCACTGTGATCTAAAAGGCTAAACTGATCCCAAATCAGCACTCCTAGTCTGCTTGGTACATACAGCCCCAGAAGAGTTTAGAGCACATGTGTCAAACTCATTCCACGGAGGGCCGAGTGTCTGCGGGTTTCGCTCCACCCTTGTACTTGATTGATGAATTAAGGTCACTAATTAGTAAGGAACTCCCCTCACCTGGTTGTCTAGGTCTTAATTGAAAGGAAAAACCAAAAACCTGCAGACACTCGGCCCTCTGTGGAATGAGTTTGACACCCCTGCCCTAAACCTTTTCAGCCCTATTGATTATGCCCAGGCTGCAGGCATTATAATCAGCATCCAGATGTATAGTATGAATAACCTTCATGTATGAAGATGACAATACCCTTTCAAGCGCAATTACAACTTGATGGCTCGCAATAATCACTTCAATCCAGTTCCTTTAGGTAAACATGATAAAGCAAGTCCCTGTATCCTGTTACTTTGGTTCTATACAAATATTTACCAATTTCTTGCTACAATAGCGGATGCAAGGGTTACAAGCATGTACAGGTAACTGCCAAAATAGAAGAAACACCAACATAGTGTCTTAATAATGTGTCTTAATAAGGTGTTAGGCCAGCTTCAATGCACCTTGGCATAGATTCTACATGTGTCTGGAACTCTATTGGAGGGATGCGACACCATTCTTACACAAGAAATTCCATAATTTGGTGTTTTGTTGTTGGTGGTGGAAAACGCTGTCTCCGGTGCCGCTCCAGAATCTCCCATAAGTGTTCAATTGGGTTGAGATCTGATGACTGAGATACACACACACACACACACACACACACACACACACACACACACCATTTAGACCCTCTATGCTCCTTTGAGACCCCTCTTCAAAGTAATTGAGATCTCTTCTTCTAGAAAATAATGGGCAGCTGGGCATTTTTATACCCTAAGCATGATGGGATGTTAATTGCTTAATTAACTCAGGAACCACACCTGGAAGCACCTGCTTTCACTATACTTTGTATCCCTCATTTACTAAAAAGTTTCCTTTATTTTGGCGGTAACCTTTATTTCATATTCAATAGGAATATTGTCCATGAAGATTCTCTGTCACAAATAAGTTATGTTTATATATTGTCATTCCCTTATGAAACACAGGTGCTCCAGCAAAAGGCAGACATATGTGGGTTAAGTGCAGGCCAGATGCCAAGAATCCCAACTGTGAGACACAGAGGGGTCCCTGGATGGACTTGCCTGGGCCTCCTGACAGACTCCCTCCATTTGCGGGAAAGGATAAGTAAGTATATGTCATCACAAATTAATTTATCAGGAGACCAAAGCTTGATGGGCTATTGAATTTCAGAATTGAACATAATGTGACAGAATTGTCCTGACTAACTTCTTTGCTCCATTCTTTTTGATGAGATATGTCCCCATAAAGGATTGCAATATCAGACATTGACACATTGTGTCACAAACCCTGACTTGATCAATAACATTTCAGAATTTTCAAGAATCCCTATACAATTTCCTGTAGTAGGAAATGTTATTAATGACAGAATCAGTCTGGTAGGTGCGTACTGTGACTTGAATGACCTCTGATATTATTTCTCATTTGAAGTAAGAAGCACTTTATTGACTTACTACTATGAGTGTAAACTACACACTGTGGGCCTACTCTATGGTTCTAGATCAGGGGTGTCAAACTCATTTTAGCTCAGGGGCCACATGGAGGAAAATCTATTCCCAAGTGGGCCGGACCGGAAAAATCATGGTATATATAACTTAAAAACAACAACTTCAGATTGTTTTCTTTGTTTTAATACGATCAACATACAACATAAAGCTGGAGCCTGAGGACAGTGTGTCCAAAATAGTACAAGCACAACATCACTATTAATCATAAAACACGTCAAGTTTATTTGAAAATTCTAAAGAAAAAGAACACACAAACACACAATGCCTCAGTGATTAACAGAACTGTTTCACAGATCACAGAACTATATCAGGGTGTCATTTCTCAGGCAGAAATGTAGATAAAAAGAATGAAATCCTGTTCCCCAAACAAGTGCAAGAACCACAGAGTCAAGAATAGGTTAAATATACAAATAAAATAAAATAAATTAAAAACAATAGCACATCAACATAAAAACATATAAACATAAAGCTGGAGCCTGAGGACAGTGTCCAAAAGCACAACATCACTATTAATCATAAAACACCTCAAGTTATTTGAAAGTTCTGAGGACAAAGAACACACAAACACACAATGCCTCAGTGATTCACAGAAGTATATCACAGATCACAGAACTATATCAGGGTGTCATTTCTCAGGCAGAAATGTAGATAAAAATAATGAAATCCTGTTCCCCAAACAAGTGCAAGAACCACTGAGTCAAGAATAGGTTAAATATACAAATAAAATCAATTAAAAACAATAGCACATCAACATAAAAACATAAACATAAATCTGAAAGCGTTGCTCAAACTCCCGTAACAGTCCCGTTATTTTATCTTTGAACCGCTTCATGTCTGCCACATGTTGGGTCGCGCACACATTTTTCAGACAGGGGAAGTGAGCTGCATCACCACCGGCAAGTTGCGTCTCCCACAATGACAGCTTCAACTTGAAAGAACGTATGCTGTCATAATACTGAGTGACAACTTTGTTGCGCCCTTGCAGCTGTTTGTTCAAGTTATTCAGGTGCTCTGTAACATCCACCATAAATGCAAGGTCCTGCATCCATTCTGCGGAATGAAATTCTAACACTGGTTTGCCCTTTTCTTCCATGAACTGTTCAATTTCTTCTCGTAAATCAAAGAAACGCCTCAGCACAGCACCTCGGCTTAACCATCTTACCTCAGTGTGGTATGGCAGGCCATAGATGTGGTCTTTCTCTCTGAGAAGGCTGTCAAACTGACAGTGATTCAGGCTTCTGGATCGGATGAAATTAACAGTTTGGATGACCACCTTCATGACGTTATCCATCTTTAATGACTTGCAACACAAAGCCTCCTGGTGCAAAATACAGTGAAAAGTCAAAAAATCACGTCCTCCATTTGCAGATTGCACTTTCTCTCTGAACTTTGTCACAACGCCTGCTTTTTTCCCAATCATTGAGGGCGCACCATCTGTAGCCAGGCTGACAGCGCGGGACCAGTCCACTCCGACCCTGTCCAGCGCGCCGACGAGTGCGGTAAAAATATCAGCTGCTGTCGTTGTATCTGTCATCGGCACCAACTCCACGAACTCCTCGGTGACGGTCAATGTGTCATCAACTCCGCGGATGAAAATGGCCAGTTGTGCAACATCTGTAATGTCCGTGCTTTCATCAATTGCAACCGAAAACGCAATAAATGACTTTACTTTTTGCTTCAACTGGCTGTCCAAATCCACTGAAAGATCGGAAATCCTGTCTGCAACTGTGTTTCTTGTCAGGCTGATATTTGCAAAAGCCTGCCGCTTTTCAGGGCACACAATCTCCGCTGCCTTCATCATGCATGTTTTTACAAATTCACCCTCACTAAATGGTTTTGAAGCCACTGCGATTTAATTAGCAATGAGGTAGCTAGCTTTCACTGCAGCGTCACTGACGTCTCGGCTGTGAGTAAACACAGACTGCTGTTTCTTCAGACCCGCCAACAGTTCATTCACCTTCTCTCATCTCCGCTGTCCTTGAAAGTTGTCATATTTGTCGGCATGAAGACTCACATAGTGGCGACGAAGGTTATATTCTTTCAGCACTGCAACATGCTCTGAACACACCAAACATACAGCTTTCCCATTCAATTCCGTGAATAAATAGGATGACCATTTTTCTTGGAACACTCTGCACTCTGCGTCCACTTTTCTCTTTTTTGACAGAGACATATTGGGGCAATGAGGGTGCCAAAGCACATAATGTTAAAAGTAGAAGCCGTAATAAATATCGCGGGCAAAACAAAGTAGCTCATTGGCTGCACGTGCTTGACCTACTTGCTCTGCCCCGGTATAAACAGTTTGCTTGCTTAACACAATTGCTATTGCGCCATCCAGTGGACGCAATTGGAACAGCAGTTTATTTTATTGAAAAATTGCAGCGCATTTTTATACTTTACAAAAAAATAAAAATAAAAAATAAAATAAATAAATTTCAAAATCATCTCGCGGGCCAGATTAAACCCGTTTGCGGGCCTGATCCGGCCCGCGGGCCGTACGTTTGACACCCCTGTTCTAGATGATCCTGCTGAAAGTTGAGTTTTTAAACTATAAGCCATATGGATTAGGTGATCTAATTATACATGTGTGAAGGAGCACCCAAGCATTGATATCTGCATTCATTATATTACAGCAGACAGAAGAGAACAATATGTACTCAGCTCTGTTAAACGTTTTCACTTTTGAGGAAGCTAAACATTTGCTATCATATTGCCTAAGACACCACTTCCACTTTAGTGGTTTAAGTCCTCAGCAAGACATTGTATCAGTTCGAAAACACCAGGACCCAAAAGGGTTGGATCTCACGAAACCCTCTTCACTATACTGTAGTTCGCACAGAAAGGGCTTATCATTCAAGTTTTACAATAGATTCATCTAAATGTGTTTATTTTCTAATTTACTTAGTTGATAAAGTAAACAATGGAACACTATTTCAACAAATGTATTATCTTCAAAGAATGGTTTTAGAGTTATCACTCAGCCTTTCTTGTTAATCGCTTTGTGAAATATTGTTGATTCAATGCACAATTCAACTCAATATGACTTAAGGCTCCCAGAAAAACAAAGCAGGGATGATGGGATTGTAGAGACACCCCGGCCTGTGCTGTAGTGAAAAATCACAGGAAGTGCTCAGAGGATGTAGACTATAATGGCTAATGGTCCTGTGCTTCTGTTTTTCTTCCAGAGTGCCGAAAGAGGATGGCTCAGAGCTGGAGGAGCAGTCAGGCGAGGGTTCTGACACTGGAATCCTCTTCACTGAGCAGGGCTCTGGCGACCAATTGGCCAGCGCAGATGTGGACGGGATTGACTACTCTGACTTCGTTTTCCCACAGAAAATGACCATGGATCAGGCTCTGCCTCCTGCTCACGAATTGAAAGAGGATCACCTGATCCTGTAGCCTGCCAGAATGCTAAATATATACATTTTGATGTCAATGCGGTTGTGTAAAATGAATTGGCTCTTGCAACTGCTCAAGATTACAGTAGCACATGCTATTTGATCCAGTTATTGATGATTGGCTGTGTAAGATTGTATTTAATCTGATTTAGGTAACAGAAGTTTAGTTATTTTCCCATGGAACCAAAGAGATAAAATTAGTTTTTTTTTTTCAGTGTTTTTATTATTATTTGTAATACCAGCCAAGAATGTTAATAATTCGATTTTAAAACATGGTTTTCAGGGATATATCGCACTTTTATTGTTTTACATTTTAGTAATTTAGCAGACGCTCTTATCCAGAGCGACTTACAGTAGTGAGTGCATACATTTGTTTACTTTTTCGTACTGGTCCCCTGTGGGAATCGAACCCACAGCCCTAGGATTGAAACGCCATGCTCTACCAACTAAGCCACAATGAAAACTATAAGATTTGTGTTATACACTCCGTTTTCAAATATACTTTATTCAGAATTTCCACGATGGTCACAATTTAACATGATATCAATCCGCACTTGTATTTTCTCATCCAAGCAAAATGTTTTGACAATTTCAGGGATTAAATAAACATAAATTTTGATCATCCAGTGGTTTATAACTCAAATACTGTTTTAGAGAGGATATGGGCTCCCTATGCTTCTGTAGCGGACATGAGTCGGACTCATGGTCTCGTGATGAGGTAGCCCTGCCTGTGACTTCAGAATCAGCCACCCTCAGCACCACATGGTTTTCCCTGTTAGTATAATGGTCAATACATTGGTTCCTCCCATGGGAGACCATGGTTCAGATCCAGTTGAGCATGGCTTTATTTCGATTACAGCATATTGGATGACTGTCATTCAATGTAACATGATACTCAAACTCCCTATACCCATCATGAGGTTGCTACAACCTAGCCTATGAATGAATGTTTACAATGTAGGTGCACACAGGTCAAGATAAAATTTTTAGGTGACTGACATTGACACACTGCCTTGCACACTCTTGCCTGCATCTAAGGTGTAATCATTAGTCCAACATTTGCAAACAAGAGTTTCTATTGGCCAAATTCAGGTATGTTTATGCCCGTTTCGTTCGGTTTGCTTCTGTTTAAGAAAAGCTTTTCAATAGAATCGGCGGAATGAATACACCCCTGATCACACTTAAACACAATTCACTTTCATAGCAACCACGTTATATTCCTTCTCGCATCTATGCGCTCTCCTCCTCTCAACTTTTCCCTTCGCTTGTGGACTTCATTGCACAACACATCAGCTGTCTGTGACCAGGCGAAAAAACCATTCCAAGCCAAACCATATGATAACCGCTGATCGCTACACACAGCCTAAATCGTTGTCACCATATTAGCTAAAGTAACGTCATAGTCAACATAGCTAATAGAACTAACGTGTTAGTAACCCCACTACAATCATGCAGTACAGTGTACAGTCAGTAAGCAGTTTAGCAATTATACTGGCGGGCCCGGTGGCAATTAATTAGGTAAACCAAAAGCTTACCTTGACTTGGAAGAGTTCCAGTGTTGGATAGTCATAGCCAACTAGCTAACATAGCATTCCTCTGTTTAAGATTGGTGTTTTGAGGAGACTAAATTAGCTAGCTGCATTTGCTAGCTAAGTAAGTGAAAGTGAAAAAAATGACAAAATATAGCTATTGATCTCCTTCATTTTTGAAGAAATTAATTTGTTCAAAACTGTTCAACTATTGTTGTTCTCTCTCTTTGAGTCAACTACTCACCACATTTTATGCACTACAGTGCTAGCTAGCTGTAGCTTATGCTTTCAGTACCAGGTTCATTCTCTGATCCTTTGATTGGGTGGAGAACATGTCAGTTAATGCTGCAAGAGTTCTGATAGGTTGGAGGAAGTCCTCAGGAAGTGGTCATAATTACTGTAAGTCCATGGAAGGGGGTGAGAACCATGAGCCTCCTAGGTTTTGTATTGAAGTCAATGTACCCAGAGGAGGACGGAAGCTAGCTGTCCTCCGGCTACACCATGGTGCTACCCTACAGAGTGCTGTTGAGGCTAGTGTAGACCATTGCAAAACAGTGTTTTAATCAATTATTTGGTGACGTGAATATACAGTGAGGGAAAAAAGTATTTGATCCCCTGCTGATTTTGTACGTTTGCCCACTGACAAAGACATGATCAGTCTATAATTTTAATGGTAGGTTTATTTGAACAGTGAGAGACAGAATAACAACAAAAACATCCAGAAAAACGTATGTCAAAAATGTTATAAATTGATTTGCATTTTAATGAGGGAAATAAGTATTTGATCCCCTCTGCAAAACATGACTTAGTACTTGGTGGCAAAACCCTTGTTGGAAATCATAGAGGTCAGACGTTTCTTGTAGTTGGCCACCAGGTTTGCACACATCTCAGGAGGGATTTTGTCCCACTCCTCTTTGCAGATCTTCTCCAAGTCATTAAGGTTTCGAGGCTGACGTTTGGCAACTCGAACCTTCAGCTCCCTCCACATATTTTCTATGGGATTAAGGTCTGGAGACTGGCTAGGCCACTCCAGGACCTTAATGTGCTTCTTCTTAAGCCACTCCTTTGTTGCCTTGGCCGTGTGTTTTGCTTCATTATCATGCTGGAATACCCATCCATGACCAATTTTCAATGCCCTGGCTGAGGGAAGGAGGTTCTCACCCAAGATTTGATGGTACATGGCCCCGTCCATCGTCCCTTTGATGCAGGGAAGTTGTCCTGTCCCCTTAGCAGAAAAACACCCCCAAAGCATAATATTTCCACCTCCATGTTTGACAGTGGGGAGGGTGTTCTTGGGGTGATAGGCAGTATTCCTCCTCCTCCAAACACGGCGAGTTGAGTTGATGCCAAAGGGCTCGATTTTGGTCTCATCTGACCACAACACTTTCACCCAGTTCTCCTCTGAATCATTAATATGTTCATTGGCAAACTTCAGACGGGCCTGTATATGTGCTTTCTTGAGCAGGGGGATCTTGTGGGCACTGCAGGATTTCAGTCCTTCACGGCGTAGTGTGTTACCAATTGTTTTCTTGGTGACTATGGTCCCAGCTGCCTTGAGATCATTGACAAGATCCTCCCGTGTAGTTCTGGGCTGATTCCTCACCGTTCTCATGATCATTGCAACTCCACGAGGTGAGATCTTGCATGGAGCCCCAGGCCGAGGGAGATTGACAATTATTTTGTGTTTCTTCCATTTGCGAATAATCGCACCAACTGTTGTCACCTTCTCACCAAGCTGCTTGGCGATGGTCTTGTAGCCCATTCCAGCCTTGTGTAGGTCTACAATCTTGTCCCTGACATCCTTGGAGAGCTCTTTGGTCTTGGCCAAGATGGAGAGTTTGGAATCTGATTGATTGATTGCTTCTGTGGACAGGTGTCTTTTATACAGGTAACAAGCTGAGATTAGGAGCACTCCCTTTAAGAGTGTGCTCCTAATCTCAGCTCGTTACCTGTATAAAAGACACCTGGGAGCCAGAAATGTTTCTAATTGAGATGGGGTCATATACTTATTCCCCTCATTAAAATGCAAATCAATTTATAACATTTTTGACATGCGTTTTTCTGGATTTGTTTGTTGTTATTCTGTCTCTCACTGTTCAAATAAACCTACCATTAAAATTATAGACTGATAATTTCTTTGTCAGTGGGCAAACGTACAAATTCAGCAGGGGATCAAATTCTTTTTTCTCTCACTCTATTTAGTATAGTTTTATCTAAAAAGGATAACTTTTTTAATGTTTCACTATTTTTATTTTTATGAAATTCACCGAGGAGGATGGTCCTCCCACTCCTTCTCTGAGGAGCCACCACTGTTCAGATCCCCCCCATGACACTTCAACCACACTGTGTCATTTCCTGAACTGCCCATAGTCTGTTATCACATCCTAGTGTTGAATATTTCCCTGAGCTTCCTCTGTAGAGTTTCTCATGACCTAGAAAACCTCCAGTTACAAAATATATTAGCCTGTAATGAGTTAGTAAGCGGCAAGCACACGTGCCTCTCTTTTGCAAAACATTCCAGATGAGAATGCAGGATAAAAATACTAGACTTTATTGTTCCTTTTAGTACACACAGTAGTACACAGGTTTCACTTGAATAGTGTTTTTGTATCTTTAGCTTCAAGCTTCATCTCAAACTATAATTTTGATCTCACAGACTGTCAGTCTTTGCATTCATAGTTCCATCTTTGAATTTGAGAGTGGTTACATTTCTCCAGGCTGAAAAACGAATGAAGGATTGTGCATTTAAAGGTGCAAGACTGCTACACCTATTCATATGACTTTAGGTCACATGATAGCTCATGGATTTGAAAGTGTGATGTTTGCAACAAGAGGATTTACAGTACACATTTCTCTATCAAAATAAAAGTTTACTGAGTAACAATGGATGGTCAAACAGTGCTATATGTATGAAAGTCAAGAGACATGAATAGCGATGATCTAAACCTCTTCTAAAGAAAGTTACTTTAAACAATAGAGATATTGCCAAAACCTTCAGAAATGTATTGTCATCTGCACGTTAATTTACATATTCATGTTCTTGAATGCTCCGTTCAAGGTGAAAGTGATTTTTAGCCTATGCAAGCTCCTTAGTTATTATTATTTTCATACTCAGGTGACACTTCGAAAAGAGATCTCATTCACAATGTGATAACCTGACTAAATAAAGAATTCATAAAAAATGTAATACATCTGCTACCTTCACCTTTTCAAATAAAATAAAATGTTATTTGTCACATGAACCGAATACAACAGGTGTAGATTACCGTGAAAAGCTTGCTTACAAACCTGTTCCCAACAATGCAAAGTAAAAAAGTAAGAAACATTTGCTAAAAATAAAAAAGGAAATAGTAACACAATAAAATAACGAGAATATATACAAGGAGTACCGGTACCGAGTCAATATGCAGCAGTACGAGGTAGAGGTAATTTAGGTAATACAGTTGAAGTCGGACATTTACATACACCTTAG